GCTTTGCTAAATTAACCTTTGTAGGAATTCTATCTAAGAGTAATTGCCATGAGAAAGCACTCACTTTTGGTGGGACTTGCGCCTCCCATATTTTTGTGTACTCCAGCAGCCTATTCTCTTCTTTTTTTGCTAGCTGCACATAGGCAGTTCTTGTGGTATATCTTCCCCCGGTCTCTAAGCTCCAGCACCAAGTGTCCGTTGCGCCTTGCACTAGTTTTATGTGTTTTATTGTCTCCAGCAATTGTTGCAAATTTTCCTCTTCCCAAGCTCTAAGTGGTCTTCTCCACTTGAATTTCCAGTCCCAGCTTCCGTTGTTCCAATGTCCCATTTGATTGATGCTGCAATTCTTTTCTGTAGCCAGCAAAAATAGCCTTGGAAAAACATTAGCCAAAGAGGTCCCTCCCACCCATGTGTCTAGCCAGAATCTAACAATTTTCCCTTCTCCCAAATTCATTTTGAAATTCAGAAGCAACCACCCATCTTTGCTACCTACACCCGTGTTTAATTTACAAATATCATTCCACCATGATGATCCTAAGACTCTTTCCTCACTCAACCATGATAACCAATTTCCCTCCTTGCTGCCATATTTTTCTAACAGCACCCTCGCCCAAAGGCCCTTCTCTCCCCCTATTAATCTCGCCCACCATTTGCCTAGCAAGGCTATGTTAAACCATCTAAGGTTTTTTACCCCCAGCCCTCCTTCTTTTTTAGTGCTGCACACCCTGTCCCAGGATACCCAAGCTATCTTTTTGCCTCCCTCAACCCCTTCCCACAAAAAAATTCCTCCTAATTTTATCAAGTTCATGTATTACCTGTTTTGGGAGCAGATATACCGACATCAAGAACACTGGTAGGCTGGATAGCACAGCGTTTATGAGGGTTATTCGTCCACCGAGCGATAAGAATCTTCCTTTCCAGACTGAGAGCTTTCTTCTGAATGAGTCTATTAGAGGTCTCTAGGTGGTTATTCTCTTTGGATTTGCCCCCAATGGCATGCCGAGATATTTACAAGGGAGGGATTCGGTTTTGCAGTTTAGCATCCATGCCATGCTTCTAATCCAGTCTTCATTTGTATTCACTCCAATTAGAGAGCTTTTTCTGTGGTTTATCTTCAAACCTGACACCAATTCAAATGCCCTCATTATGCATTTTGCTGTCCAAATGTTGTCTTCAGTCGCCTCTCCCATAAAAAGTGTGTCATCCGCAAACTGAAGATGGCTGACTTCTAACTCTCCTTTTCCTATTTTGACTCCCCAGAAGTAACCCTTTGCAACAGCTGCGGAAGTTAGTCCATTTAGAGCTTCTGCCACCATTAGGAACAAGAATGGGGATAATGGTTTAACATAGCCTTGTCGGAGCCCTCTTGTCATCGAGAACTCTTTGGTAGCACTTCCGTTGACTAAAACGGACACCGTGTTTGATCTTAAGCATTCTGAGATCCACCCCCTCCATACTATATCAAAACCCATTCTCTCCATCATGTAATCAAGGAAGGACCAGCTCACCTTATCATAAGCTTTTTCAAAGTCAATTTTGAAAATAAAGCACTGGGATTTTCTTTTTCGTGCCCCATCAATCGCTTCATTTGCAACAACCACTCCATCTACAAGTTGCCTTCCCTCAATAAAAGCAGATTGATTTTCTCCTATAATTGAGTTCAATGCTTTGCTGAGCCTATTTGCTAGCAGCTTAGCAAGAATTTTGTAAGTGCATCCAATTAAGGAGATGGGTCGATATTCCTCCACACCTTGGGGGTTCTCTGTCTTCGGTATCAAGACAAGAAAAGAAGCATTAGACCCCCTTACCAGTTTTCTGTTGCTGTGAAAATCCTTAAGGAATTCCATGATGTCTACCTTGATCACCTCCCATGCACTCTTTATAAAACCGAAAGTAAATCCATCTGACCCTGGTGCTTTGGTGCTGTCACAATTCCATACCACTGTTTTGACTTCTTCTTCTGTAAAAGGCTCAGTAAGCATACATTTATCTGCCTCCGAAATGGTTCTGAATTTGAGCCCCTCTAACTTTGGTCTTGTCCATCCTTCATCAGTAAATAAGTTCTCAAAATACTTCATTATTCCTTGTTTTATATCTCCAACTTGCCTAAACTCTTCGCCCCCTATGGAGATTACATTTATTTTATTTCTGCGCCATCTCCCTTTGATGCATTTGTGGAAGAAGTTGGTATTTGCGTCTCTTGTTTTTAGCCAGTTTTTCCTTGCTTTTTGCTGGGCCATCTCTTCTTTCAATTGCATATTCTTTAATAATTTAGTGTAGTGTGAGCTTCTAAGAAATAAATCTTCTTTTGTTAAGCTGCAATTTTCTGCTTTTACATCAATTCTGTTCATCTCCTCCTTAGATTTCTCAATCTTTCTATCCACTTCTTGTAATGAAGATTTTGACCAAACCCGAAGGAACTCTTTAGTCTTCTTCAATTTTTTCTTCAAAATGAATCCACCCCATCCCTGGACTGAAATCTCTCTCCATTTTGCTGCAACCATCTCTGAAAATCCCGGGTTTTGTAGCCAAGCATTAAAGAGTTTGAATGGCTTTGGAATCCAATTATGTGCTTCATTTTTTACCAATATTGGGGTGTGATCCGACATAGATCTGTGAAGACCCCATTGCTTCAAATCAGGCCATTTCGTTAACCATTCATCATTGAACAAGAACCTGTCCAACCGGCTCATGCATTGACCATTCGGCTGATACCATGTGTATTTCCTTCCCAATAGTGGTAAATCCATCAATCCGCTGTTCAAGATGAATTCTTCAAAACCCGTGATTTCTCTCCTTACACTCCTTCCTCCCTTCCTTTCTTGAAGACATCTGATGGCATTAAAATCACCCCCTATGCACCAGCATCCCCTGTTGTTCTTTATTTTCTGCTGAAGTGATCCCCACATAGTTTTCTTTTTCTCCAAATCACACGAAGAGTATACATTACACAAAATGCACGGGTGAGCTTCAGGTCCCCATAACCCATAAATCCCAAGAAAACCATCACCTTCAAAAACATCTAATTTCTTGAATACATCACTATTCCAGAGTATGATTAATCCTCCGGAGGCTCCCAAAGACGGTTTTGCCACCCACTCCATATTGTCGGAGTCCCAGAGTTTTCTACATAATTGTTTGTCTACTAATTCCATTTTTGTTTCTTGCAAAAACAAAATCTCTACTCTGTGCTTCATCACCAATTCCCTCACCTCTCTTTTTTTCCCCACCCCTCCTAGGCCCCTAATATTTAAAGATAACAAAATCATGGAACCTTAGCAGACACCTGATTTCCAGTCAGAATGCTTACCGTGTCCTTTTTTCTTCTTTCTCTGTCCCTCTGCTCCATTTCTTCTAGCTTTCGCACCACTGGTATCTCATTCCCTTCTGTTGATACGCCCAATTCCTTGATGCGTCTCCATAATGCTTCTGTGTCTCTACTGCTATTCTTCAGATCAATGCTCCTGTTGCAATTCTGGATATTGCTGTCATCTATTGAGTCGTCTGCTATCAGATCTGCTGAGTTTCCTTCGAAGGCAACCTCCTGCTCCATTTTTTCCGTCACCAGCCTTTTCCCTTTCTTTTTTTTCTGCAACCGAGTGCCTTTGAGTCCGCCTGATTGTATATACACAGATCTGCAGGTCTTTACTCTTCTTTTCTGTCTTTGTTTCTTCTTTCCTTCTCCTTTTCTTGTCCAATTCGGCATCCCCTCTGAGTTACACCCCTCTGAATTGCTGTCCATGTCTTTCCAGAAGCTATCTATTTCTTCATTTCTCCCGTGGCTTGGTTTGCTAGCATTCTTTTTGTTGGGCTTACCCAAAGATAATGGGTTTAACATTTCATGCTTTGGCCCATGCTTCTGTAACCCGTCTTTCCCTTTTTCTGATGTTTTTTCCTTTGCTGGCCCATCAGGCCCATTTGGAACTCCCCTCTGCTCCATCGTGCAACTTTTAGTGCTGCATTCTATGTCGTTTTCCCCTGAAGCCTCGTCCGTTGTTCCCAATTTGAAAGTCCCTCTGCTACCTTCTTTTTCTTTGTTGTCTTCCGAATCTGTTCCCCTCCCTCTCACATCCCCCTCGAGCCCATCGAGCATTAAATGTTTTCCCGTTGATCCTTCCTTCCTGCTCACTGCCTTCTCCTTTGGTCTTTCAGACAGTCTGACCATTCCTTCTGTCACGGAGGCTTCATCTTCTGTCCTTTCAACTGTGTTCTTCTCTTTCTTCTTATTATGGTTATTTTTTTGAATTTGTTGACTCACCCACTCCGCCGCTGATGTGTCATCTGGTGAGTGGTTCGCTGCTTCCAAAGCTCCCTCGCCATCTTCCACGTCTGTCTCTGGCACCGGCAGTCCGGTTGCCATGTCATCATCTTCTTCCTCGCCCCTGGTATGTTCTGAGTCAAAATACTAAGAACCATGGCCTGCTTCACTCTCCGAATCTTCTGTTGGCCATTCTTCCTCACTTTTGTGATCGCCTTTTAATTTAAAGTCTGTATTCATTATATACAGACTATTGCTTGATTCCTCCTCTGAGAATTTGATTTTGTACACCACCCCATTAATCTTTATGGTTAGGTGCTTTGAGATGTATTCCACCACAGGAGTTGAAATGAGGAATCTAGCAACATCAAGGCGTTTTTTCTGGCTAGTGCTGTCATCCACAGAGATGAATGTACCCCAAAGATTTCAAAAAGCTTGGAAGTATTCCGGTTTCCATGCATGTATAGGTAGACCCAAACACCTAATCCATGTGAACCTTTCTGTTGCCACCACCGTCGGGTTCCATGGTTTGATTTCCTCAAACCACTGTCCTAGCCACTCTTTGTAATTTTCTACCAGCTCTTTCAAGTCTTCTTTCTCATGTCCTTCCAACAAGACTAGCCTGCCTCCCATTGCTCTGATTTTGCAGAAGAAGATTCCCTCCATAAAGAATTTTTCTTGCAGGGTTGGGATCATTGTAGCCGAGTGAGCTGTTCCTACAAAGCAATTTTCCAGCCATTCATACTCATTCTGATTGACATTAAACTCCATTCCTGCCCATTCTTGATGTTGTTGTTTTGGCTTCCATCTCCATTTACTTTGTGCACTTGTCCTAGCGTTGTTGATTAGCTCTCTGTTACTAGTTCCATGATAATGCTTCGTTTTTTGTCCTCGATCCTGATTTTCTGCCATTCTTCTTTTTACTACCTCGGCATACGATGGTTTCTGATGAGTTTCTGTCTCTGATGTATCCACACCTTTCGCTGTCCCATTCACCCTGTTTCCCATATTAATTTGCTTTTGAACTTCATGTCCTGTCTTCTGGAACCTGGGTTTGTTGGCTTGAAGTTTAAAGCCCCCAATATGAACTTGGTTTAGCTTTCTTTCCAGCTCTCTGTCATCCCTGACCTCCAAGAATCTAACAAAACCAAATCTCCTTCCCAGGCGGTCCCTGTTTTTCGGACAGTCAATTTCGATTACCCTTCCCTCTCCCAGTCTGTTGAATGTTCCCCACATCTCTTCAAAGGACCAGTCTTCGGGGAAATTTGTGAAAAAGAAAGGTGATGCTTGGTTGTAAATCTTCTTCTCAAATCCCCCGTAGTATTTCGTCGGACAGTTCTTGCTCTCCAGCTGAATTCCCTCATATCGCTGTGCTCTCCTTCCTCGTCCTCTGTTGTTGGTCACCCTCTCCGGTGCTCTCTCTCTCTCTAACACTCTCCCTCTCATCTCTAAGAGTTCTCATTTCTTACCTTCCATATATGCTAGTAGATTATTGCACATTGTTCTATCATAGATGGTATACCCATTTGCTTTGCAATACCATTGATATATCTCCACCATTCACTAAAACAACTCGCCCCCAACTGGTTAAGGTCAAGACCCAGGGTTGAACCAAACCAAATTGGTTCTACATGAGGGCAATATAATAACAGATGTATTAATGTTTCATTAGCCATATTACAATTAGGGTATGTTATCTCCTCTGATACTCCCGTTTTAGCCAAATTATCTAAAGAAGGCAATGAGTTAAGTATGGCTCTCTACAAGAAAACATGAACCTTTGGGGGAACTTTTAGTTTCCATAAATGTTTCCATTCAACAGTGGTCAGGTTCCCATTGGTAACATGAATTGCTGGTTCATGGGTAGCATTAAGTGCCAGCAAATAAGCGCTTTTAACAGAAAATGTACCACATTTATCATGATGCCACACAAAAGAATCAAAGCAAGTTCCAGTAGGAATTTTAAGGATTTCCCTGCATTCTTGATTACTAAAGCTTGCATTTAACTTTGTAACATCCCAATCTCCCCTATCATCAAGCAATTCACA